AGTAGGGCTTCCAAAGCAGCCGTCGGACAGGATCTCATTGCACCCGTTATGTTAAGACATGCTAACCGCTGGATTTGTGCCAGCTGTTGTTGAGCTGTCTTATGTTTTGTTTTTGGCCACCAAACCAATGAGGCGTAGGCGACCATGGGTCTGATTATTGCTACGTAGGCCCAATGAGCCATTCGTGGTTTGAGACCCCAGTTCCTTCCTAGGAGCCTGCGGCAGATCTGGTTTGCCATGATGGCCTTTTTCCTCACCTTATCTAAGTGTGAGTTCCAGTTTAGTTTACTGTCAAGTATTACCCCTAGGTATTTAGTTTCTGTTTTGAGGTTAATAGTTCTGCTTTCAATGGAGGGTGCTTTTATTTGTAGCTTCCTTCTCCGAGTGAAAGGGACTATTTCGATTTTATTGGGATTGATGCTGAGCCCATTGCTTCTGCACCAAGTACTGGTGAGTACTTGGTGCGTAGTAGGGCTTTCTGCATTAGCTGAGTTATGATTGAATCATATTTACCTCGGATTGTGATTACCAGGTCATCAGCATACCCATAGTATAGAGTTAATATCGAGCTTATATCATTGTATCATACACAGCTGCCAAGTCCACAAAGGCTACGGATGTTTTTAGGCATCTATAAAAGTCTGATTCTGTTAACTACGATTTCTTACTCATTATTATCTTGGTATAGACATGACTATTATACAGGGTGTCACACAAAAAACGCCCCAAGCTGTAACTCTGTCATTTACATTCCGATTTTCATGAGCGGGTTATCAAATGAAATGGNTGACGTCCCAAATCGCCTAGCCATGTCCGAAGTACTAGTAGTACTATTTTCTTCTGCATGTTCTAAAATTAACTCTTCCAATTGAGCAGTTCGAACAGATCTAGGGTTGCCGTTGTTCAGAAAGATATGTTTTAGTGATCCATTTTCTCTTAATCGGGTTTCAATTCGAGAAAACATTTTTCTGTTGGGGGTTCTACGATTCGGGAATTTTTGTCGATAACGGAATTTCCAAGACATTCACCCAATGTTAAAAGCATATCGGTTTGTTCTCCAAATGTGTAATTTTCCATTTCGAACACTACAAGGTTTTTAGTATTTATGTAAATAAAAAACTTTGCTTTTCAGAAGGGTATTTTTTATTTTCGGCTCTACCGGTTTCGACTAATTCTTTTTAGTCATCTTCAGGAGCAATAGCCACCTGTTATACAATTTAAAAAATCACATTAAAAACTANGATAGAGATTGTTTTTCTGAATCCACAGATGTACAATACATCCATTTTGAATATAATTTTAGTAGAGAAAAGACACCTGTATATACAGGTTGCCACACAAGAACGCCGCTAGCTTTATCTCTGTCATTTACCTTCCAATTTTCATGACCTAGCTATCAAATGAAATGGTTTGATGAATACTATGATTCATTCTACAAATATACTTTTTCCAACGCCATCTTCAATTTCTAGCTTTTTCTAACGCCATTTAGCAATTTCTAGACTATCAAGATTTGATTTTCCAATTGCTCGGTATGTTTTTCTTCACGCTATCGGATAGAGTTTTTTTTTCTGAATCCATTAATGTACAATACATCAACATTAATTGTAATTGTAGCATAGAAAAACATTAAAATAGTTTCTGAACATTCTCTTAAAGTCACTTGTGTTATACTGTAGTGTGCCATGGGATAAATGAAAAACCAACTTATAAGTATCATTTACAACTGCTTGGGCATTGAAATAGCATTTAATGACTGTTATCAGTTTTGCGTGTTATTTTTTTCCATGGCACACTGCAGTATTACAGAAGTGACTAAGACAATGTTCGGAAAATGTTTTAATTGTTTTTCTCTGCTAAAATTACAATTAATGTTAATGTATTGTACATCAATGGGCTCAGAAAACAATTTCTATCCCATAACGTGAAGAAAAACATACCGAGCAATTTGAAAATCAAAAGTTGATAATCGCTTGAAATCGAAGATGGCGTTGGAAAAAGTTTATTTGTAGCATGAATCATAGCATTCATCAAACCATTTCATTTGTTGCCTCGTTCATAAAAATCGGAAGGTAAATGACAGAGTTACAGCTTACGGCGTTCTTGTGCGACAACCTGTATATACAGGTGTCTTTTTTCTGCTAAAATTACATTCAAAGTGGATGTATTACACATCAGTGAATTCAGAAAAACAATCTCTATCTAATGACGTGAAGACAAATATATGGAGCAATTTAAAAAACAAAAGTTAATAATCGCTTAAAATTGAAGATGGCCTTGAAAAAAATTTATTTGTAGCATGAACCATAGTATTCATCAAACCATTTCATTTGATACCTCGGTCATGAAAATCGGAATGTAAATAACAGTTACAGCTTGGGGCGTTTTTTGTGTGACACCCTGTATAATGATGCTACAAAGATTTATCTATAATATAAACTTCTTTTAGCTAACATTTTTTAATAAATTCTTCTATTTTTAGAATCAACCGATTTCTCGACAACAAAACACAATGAAAAGACTGATATTATCACCCCAACGGTTATCACCAGGCGTACGAAAGTTTCGAGTATCTCGCTCAACATCCCAGCGGCGGGTTTGGGCAGCAGACCGCCTTCCATCGTGAGCACCTCCACGTTAGACGAGGGCGGTTTTAATGAACCAACCCCCGAGATAAAGGCTAAATTAAAACCGCCACTTGTTGGCCACTACAAAGATGGTGATAACGATGACGACGACGACGAACCGGATTACGCCGAGCCTGTTTCTTCGTCGCAACAAAGCAGCCCCGATGTGCTCATAAAACAACTACCATCTCTTAGTAGCCCCGATGTTTTAAAAACGACCGCGTATCAAAGTGATTTTTATCAAGGAAATAAAATGCCCGATATCGGGCATTGTTCGTCGATTAAAGAGGAATTAAAAATTGATTTGGTCGATAAAAATATTGAGGCGTTGTACGCGGTTCCAAATAAAGGGCGAGATTTGTTGAAACAAAAATCGAATACTTCGACGGATTCGGAAGTTTCTCAAGTGACTGTTGTTGCTCAACGTTCGTTTGATTCGGATATTATTTATAATGGACAAACGGGTGGTTTATTTAGTAGTAATAAGAATGATGGTGATGTTGTAACTGAAATTGAGTGCCAAGAAATTAGTAATAATAGTGTTGGGGAGCGACGTTATGATAGTTTTCAATTAGATGGGGATTGTTTTAAACCAGATTTGATATCAAGTACAAATGAGGTAAGAAAAGAAAATTTATTACTTACAATTTAATTATTATTAATCAAATTTGTAATTTTTATTTCAATTTTAATAGTTGGTAAATCCCGCCAATAATAATCTTTTTGTTCACATTTTCGAAATTGATTTTGTAAATTTACAACGTTTGGGGAATTCCTTTTTCGTTCTTCATCCCGCAGTTTTAATTGACTAATTAATTCCTTTAAACGTCGTCTTCTCTCGTTGCTTAATGTTAAAAAATGATCATTTAAGTTTCCAATAACAATCCTTAAATTTGGTAGAGCCAATTGATTAAGCCGTTCTGAATTATTATACATTGTTAAAAAATCAATTTATTAAGCTTAAAAAAAATTAAATGACATATGTCATAATAATTCTTGTAGAAATCTTTAAAAATTTCTTTTTAATAACTCTTTGTCCCACTCAACGGCGTATTGCAACCGATACCACCACTTCCAAAATAACACCACAGCAAAGCCCTCTTCTTTAGAACAAGAAGAAGTAGAAAGAGCACGTCGTGGTTATATTTAAACGCTAGAGCAGCCGCGTCGTGTGTGCCGCCCTCCCTTCTTTTAAATACACGCCCCGAGACGGATAATAATTATTGCGTCCTCGACATTACAGTATGCGCAGCAGAAGAAGTCCTCGATTCATTCCCCGGAGATTAAATCGGAAGCGAACCTTTTGGACGAAGTCGAATACGTCGAGATACCATCGAAGGACGACGACGAAGACGACGTCCTCGTCGATATCGATGAAGAAGGGGAAGTAGTTGTCTTGAAGGTTGATGCTGTTGAAGCCGACGCCATGACACCCGCTGAAGCTGAAAATCTGCTAAGCTCAAAGTAAGGGGAACATTTTTAAAAGGCGTTTTGGCTGAAAAAGCTTTAAGCATGATTTTTTTTTAATACCGAGATTAATGATTGATATTGAGAGTATTTTTTTTCTTTTTTTTTTCTCGTCCCTTCTCGAATTTTTATGGCATGCGTCCAACAAACACTCAGTATACTGGAGAAAAGAATTAGGTGAGTATTTGAAGTGTTGAGGAAGATTTAGGGACGCTTTTGCTTTTTTTTTTATTATAATTATAAATACGATTTTTTTTTTGCTTTTTAGAATTCGGTGGAATATCTATGTAGATTTAGTTATGAATATGTTTGATATTTAACTTTTATATGCAAGCTTTTATATACAGTTTATATTAAAAGTGGTATTTTTTTCTGGGATATTTAAATTTATGCATGTAAAATATTTTTTTATGTATTAGATTTGTTAAAACGAGTCCAAAACAAGATCAGTAGTCAGATACGATAATAGGAAGGGGAAAAGAGTAAGAAAAAGCTTCTGAGACAAGGAATGTCGGCTTTGTTGATCAAACTGACTCTAGTGAATATTGGATGCTGGATCTTTACTAAGCAATATCGACAGAGAGAGTTGAAAGGCGCAATCTTCCTAATACCACCCGTTCAATTTCAATTTCTCTCTGGTCACTTTCTTTTATTTGTAATTTCTGTCTCTGTTCAGTCCCCCTCTTCTAGTACCAGTCTTATTCCGGTTTCTCCTCTTTATGCCTTGTGTCATTTTATCTTTCCAGCCTCTGTTCAGTGTCTGTCTTCTATTAACAATCTCTGTCTCTTTTCTGTCCAGTCTCAGTTTTCTTTTTGGAATCCCTGTTCAGCGCCTGTCTTTTATTAACAGTATCGTCTTGTGATTTCTCTCTCCATTCTGTCTCTGTATTCTATTACCAGTGTTATTTTATTCTCTTCTCTTTCTGTCCAATCTCTTTTCTCTCCAGTTTTTCTGCAGTCCCTGTCTTCTATTACCAGCATATTTTTGTCTTTCCAGTCTCTCTCCACTAATACCAATCTCATTACACTTTTCCTAGAAAGAATTTAATCACTTCTTCTTGAATGACTCCACACACTGTTATTGATCCCGGGCCTCTCCACTTTTTGTCTCCAAGCTTCTCTGTCGATGGTTTCCTTTTTCCAGGTTGTGATTTTTCCTCTTGTTTAGCAGTAGCTCCGGTATCCTTCCCTTCTTCATCCTGACCACATGTCCTACCCATTGCAATCTCTGGATAGTTGATGTACTCTGAGAGCATTGACTCTTTGTAGTAGGTATATACATAGTTACATGTTTATCTCCATAAATTATTCTGCTATATTTGGCCTAAGAACTTTCTCAGGATCTTTATTTCAAAAACGTCTATGTTGTATGCCAGTTTCTGATTTAGCATCCAGATCATATACTCACAGCCATATGTTATTATAGACCTTCAAATTGTTTTATAGATAATTTAATGTTCCTATATATATCCTTTATTAGTCAGCAGTATTCACTCCGTGTCACCACCCATGACTCTGCCTGACCTAGTCTGCATCATAATTTAATTTTTTTCTGTATTTGGGGATCTGCATTCTGTAAGTTATCAGCTTATCCCCTTGTTTTAGTCCATGGATAATATTGAAAGTTTTTGTTAGCTGCTCTTGTATGCGTACATAGCCTTGTGTATTTCTAGATCTTCCTCCACATCGTGCACAAAACGTCTTTTCGGCCTTCCAAATAAGGATATAATTCTTCTGATACTTTTTATGTTCATTTCATGGCCAATCCAGGTTAACCTTTGCGCTTTAATAAATTTAAGTATCTCTGGTTCACAATTTAGAAGATACAACTCGAGTAGTAGTTGTTTGCCGATTTAAGAACCTCCTCCTAGAACGCTGGTTCGAGAAGGTCTAGTGTTAGTTCTAGTTTTACACTATGGGTAGAACTAACAGTATACCTAGAACTAGAATCATTCGGGTTTAGCCGTTTTTAGAGACGTGCGGCTAAACCCGAATGATTCTAGTTCTAGGTCTTGTGTTAGTTCTACTTTTAATAATTATTCAGCCGTAGATTGTTGTATATTTTTGTCCACGACTACCTTATAATATATACCTTATGAATGAGTTTTCTAAAACAAAATGGTAGTCATTTTTTACGGAGTGAATAATAGCGGTGAATAATAATCATTATTCACGGGTAGCCATCTTGACCAGACTATACTCTGTTTTTAAACCAGGAGGAGTATTTTAAATTTGTCACCAGATTGACCTTGCACGTGATTGGTTGAATGCGAGGAAGGTGCAATTTTGAATTTGAAGGTTAGGTTATTGACAATTCGACAGTTTCGTGTCATTGTTGTAAATTTTGTTTAAATTCTTTTGCGTCTTCAATTAATACATTCATAACCTTAATGTTAATTTGTATGTTTAGTGTTGACGATAACAAACGAAAATAAATACAATAATAAGTAAATAAATAAATAATAATAATTATTAATTTAAATTTACCGCCAAAATATCTAGTGATATTTTCTGGTGATTTTTCCTAGTGTAAATCTGGCTTTCGCGTTTACTCCTCCTGGTTTAAAAACAGAGTATAATAATAATTATTTGAAACGTTAAAAGTTCAAAAAACGTTAGTTTAATTCAATTTTTTAGTAGTTTCTAAATGTTTGACATTAAAAAAACCTAAACAAATTCCTTTTTTAATTTTCGTAAAGAAAACGACGTTTTATAAAACTGACACTTAATTTTCACAAATTGTTGTGAAGTTGGTTACAGTTAGTAACATTGAATTTGTGTCACATTGACGTTTAACTTTTATTCAAAAATTTATTTAAAAAATAAATTTGTGGAATCAATTTCAATAGTCGTGGACAAAGTATAGTATTCTACTCGCATATAATGAGCTATTATTCACTCAGGTTAATTAATAACCTTAACTTTCGTGAATAATAGCCCTCATTATATGCTCATACAGTGCTAGCGTAAAGTAACCCCCCCTTTTTAACTTCCGAACAGATAGAGATATCAATATGAGCAAAAAAACGTCAGGTTCAATATTTTATCAGCACAAATATTTTCTTATTTAAAATTTTACTATCACTTTTAGTTTTTCCGGAAAATGGATCCACTTTGTTTTTTTAAATGGAACACCCAGTATATTATGGTATCTTCCGAAAGATGAAACCAATACGAATCCAACGATACCTCACAATCAAATATCGGTTTATTAGTTTTTCGCATAAAAATTAAACAAAATGCGGAATTTCGCCGGAAAAACCAACGTATCTTCGTCGACTACCTGTTGAAATGCAATCGGCCAGTTAAATGGTGGACGGTAGGTATCCGCTCGAGCTAAGACGGATTTAAAATCGAATAATAAAAGAATTTTTTATTTATTAAGAACAAACATTTTTGTAGTGTTTCCTCTCTCACACGGCTTAACATGTAATGATCAATATTTTGGCAGACGTCAATAATTTTTTGTTTTAAATCCTCAATACTGTCCAGCGAAATTTCATATACCTTGGATTTTAAATAACACCATAAAAAGAAATATAAAGGTGTTAGATCTGGTGATCTTGCTGGCCATTCAACCGGCCTACGTCGATCGATCCACCGTCCATTAAAAGTTGTATCAAGATAATTTCGTACTATTGCCGCATAATGTGGAGGAGCCATTTCAAAATCGTCAGGATTCTGGTGTACAATTTGCAAAAGACTTGGATTAATATCTTCTTCTAATAATCTTAAATACAATTCCGGTCTAATTTTCGGTTAGGAATATTGGTCCCACGATGTGATTTCCCAATATGCCTGTCCAAATATTTATTTTCTTGGGAAATTGAGTGTTAACTTCACGATATTCATGTGGATTAAAATCACTCTAGTAACGTACATTTTGCCGATGCAATTTTCCATCCAAAAAGAAAGTACATTCATCACCGAAACAAATCTAAAAATATATCCCCGCCGTTGTTGGACCCACATCACACGTTGATGCGATAGCAGCAGACGACATCATGCACGCATTAACTACTTCTGTTAACATCTGCACTTGTGTATCTTCAGAAATCGAACGACGACCAGTTCTTTTGCTGTCTTCGACGCTTCCAGTTACCAAAAACTTATTTACAAGTTCTCTTACAAATTTTCGACTAATTGGATGTTCAGGAAATCGTTCATTAAATTGTCGCTCTGTTTCATGTACATTTCTGTGAGTACGAGCGAATATTAAAATTCGTCCGATTTTGTGCTCTAAACTCCTTTTAGCCATTTTGATCTCGCCTTTCTTTGGTTATACTTGGTCGGGTAGAATTCCAAGATAGAAATGAAGGACAATCTTTGCATGCTGCCTTAAATACAAAATTTCAAGGTACCTACAAACTTTAAAATTGTTGTTATGACAATTTTTTCTTAGAAGTTTTAAGAAGAACTTTCTTTTTATCCTTTTCTTGCATTGATTGTTTCATAAAAACATTCTAAAAGAATTGCCGATTTTAACCCTGCTTAACCCGAGCGTAGACCGACCTTTAACTGACGGTCCACCATTTATCTGGCCCATTGTATCTCGACAGGTAGTCAACGAAGATACGTTGGTTCTTCCGGCGAAATTTCGCATTTTGTTTAATATTTATGTAAAAAACTAATAAACCGATATTTGATTGTGAGGTATCGTTGGATTCGTATTGTTTTATTCTTTCGGAAGATACCATAATATAGTGGGTGTTCCATTTAAAAAAACAAAGTTGATCCATTTTCCGGAAAAACTAAAAGTGATAGCAAAATTTTCCATAAGAAAATATTTGTGCTGATAAAATATAGAAACTGACGTTTTTTTGCTCATATTGATATCTCAATCTGTTCAGAAGTTAAACAGGGGGGGGGGTTACTTTACGCTAGCACTGTATATAATAATATACTATTATTGAACTAAAAGTATAACACTAGATGTTGCTAATTTCAGTGTTATAATCTTCACTGGTGTCCTAATAGTATATTATGCATATATATTTATGCTATTTTTTGTAATTCGCGTTTTTATACTTTTTTTTAACAAAAATAAAGTCAATTTTGGCAATATAGGGAAATAGGTATGTAGCAGTTGGTAATACCGGAACACTTGAAAATAGAAACTTTGAATTGACAATTAGAAACTGTCAAAACACAAAATATATTCACCTGAAAAAAAATGTTTGATGTACACTTCCCAAAATAAGAAAAATTGCTCAGAGTCAATGTCCTCATCATTGTGGACCTTGTATTCGATGCTAAGAACGTGTTTAAACATCCATAGACAAAAATTGTCACATTGACAACTAGAAAAATTAATGACCCAATGTCACCAACTTGAACTGGTTCCATAAAATGTTACTAAAATCTCATTACAGCATCGGATGCTCTAAGGAGTCTCATTACAGCACCCGTTTGAGTACTGTTATAGCTTCCATTACCGTAGCGAATTACAAAAACTCATTTATTATACGCTACAAATATTCCTTGTACAGTTGTACAAATTTCTTTGCAATGAATTATCTTAAAAAATCATAATATTCTGGATGAAAACCTTCATGTTAATTATTCCAAACAAGTAATAAATTTATACAAATTTATTACATAATCAAATTTTTGTAAATAATCTAGTTTTGGACTTGTTTTGTTTGTACAATTAATGTTCCTAAATAAATAAAAAATGAATTAACTAAAAATTCCTCAATATTTTTATAGACAAGATCTTCTCTCAGACGAAGAAGCTCAAGAAGTAGTTAGATTATTACACCAAGAAGATCGTCATTGGCAGCCAGATTTATCCAGTTCTATGCACGATAGTTCAATGATGGGGCCACCTTCGTTAAACGACAGCATGGGGCCACCGTCGTTACAAGAAGACTCGATGAACACCGAACCCATCGTCGAATACGCCGTCGTTAATAAAGCCGCTAAACATTATGAAAAAAATAATTTCATAAATAATTCGGTTATGAACGAATCCACATCGAGTATTGACGTTTCAATACAGGATGTTACTTGTAATTCAAAAATGGATTCAAGCGTTGCGTCAGATTCTGGATTAATTGGTAATTAAATTATTTGTTATTAATAATTCATTTAAAATTAAAATTTCTTTTTGATGTGTTAGATTCTGTTACTAGTATTTCGGAAGGAAATAATGTAGATTCAGATTTTGTTCCCGTACCAAAACGAATAATCGGAAGCGAACATGGCGTTCATTACTACGAAGACGGCCATTTTTGGATGGAAGTCCCCGGTTTACCACAACAAGACGAAGACGACGACCTCGATTATCCAAATTACGTCCCGAAATCGTCAAAAGTCTGTTTCTCCACGGATCCCATGAAAGTTTACTCAACATTCAGCATAAACGATTACGATCGTAGAAACGAAGACGTCGATCCGGTCGCTGCAAGTGCTGAATATGAATTAGAAAAGCGCGTAGAAAAAATGGACGTATTTCCGGTTGAATTAATTAAAGGACCGGAAGGATTAGGTTTGAGTATCATAGGGATGGGTGTTGGTGCGGATGCCGGGTTGGAAAAACTTGGGATTTTCGTTAAAACGATAACCTCAAACGGGGCGGCAGCTAGAGATGGCCGAATACAAGTTAACGATCAAATTATCGAAGTTGATGGTAAAAGTTTAGTTGGGGTAACTCAAGCTTATGCGGCGAGCGTTTTAAGGAACACTTCCGGTTTAGTTCGATTTAGTATTGGAAGGGAACGCGATCCAGAAAATAGTGAAGTTGCTCAATTAATTAGGCAAAGTTTACAAGCTGATAAAGAAAGGGAAGAAAGGAGACAAAGAGCTTTAGAGGCTGAACAACAAAGTAGCGATGCTAGTACTTTACCTTTAATGGGTAATATTTTTAGTGTTGTATTAATTTCGTTATGTAATTAAATTTTTGATTTAGGTTCTGCAAATAGTAGCGTTTCAGATGGCCCAGTGAGTCCTTTAACGCACAACGATAGCGTTTTTGAGCCTGATATACATGAGACAAGCGATGTGGAATCGTTGAGATTGCTACTTCAAGAGGTATGTTTTAAAATTGTTATATTTAATGCATCTTTGTCTTTTTTATATATAGAAAATGAAAAGTGAGTCCAAACTATATTAATTTATTTAAAAAAATATGAATTAATTCAATAAATGAAATTATGTTTGGATTTTTAAGTTAAAAATTGGGTTTATGACCTATGTGAAGTTAACACCCAGTATAGTATGTATAGTATTTTGATTATAACAAGAGAACTATAACAATATCACATTCAGAAAGTTAATCAATCATAACTCATAAACGATTTATTGAATGACCAAGATCTAAGACTCGCCAGTTTCAATAATGATAATAATACTTTATTGACGATAATATCATTTACATAATTTTCATAAGTCAGATACATGTATAATTATATAAAAATTACGGCAAAATCAAACAAAAATCGGCATCCCCTTCGGCCGGATATCCGGTTATCCGGCATATCTATCCGACCATTATGGTTACAACTTCTGCTGCATTTCTGAAGTAATACCCTACATTGCCACATTATTGCAATATTTGAATAAATATGAAATTAATAAGAAAGCTGATAAGGTATGTCAACTTATTTGGATCCAAGATACAAAATGAACTTTTTTAATGCTGATTTAACTCACGAAGCAACTCTAAGAAGAGGATACTTTAATTAATAATTGGCGATATTTCCACAAGGATCCGTCAAGAAATGAATTTTATCAAAACTTCAAATATTGTTTTCTTAAAAACTAAAAGTTATTTTTCAAAACGGGTTGGTTTATTGGAAAGAGGACAATTTTATTAACACTTTGGGAAATTTTCATACTTGTATTCCAAGAAATGGATTTTATACGAATTTTTAAAACTTAATCGGCGAAAATTGCAAAATTCGAAAAAATTGTCGATTATTTCAAAAATTTATTTCTCTAGAACTAAAAGTGATTTTTCAAAACGGCTTGTTGCATTAAAAAGAGGATTCTTTAATTAATAATTGATGATATTTCCACAAGGATCCTTCAAGAAATGAATTTTATAGCGAATTTTGAAAATTATCGATGAAAATTGCAAGATCGAAAATTTTATCAAAATTTCAAAACTTGTTTTCTCTAAAACTAAAAGTTATTTTTCAAAACGGGTTGGTTTATTGGAAAGAGGACAATTTTATTAACACTTTGGGAAATTTTCATACTTGTATTCCAAGAAATGGATTTTATACGAATTTTTAAAACTTAATCGGCGAAAATTGCAAAATTCGAAAAAATTGTCGATTATTTCAAAAATTTATTTATATAGAACTAAAAGTGATTTTTCAAAACGGTTTGTTGCATTAAAAAGAGGATACTTTAATTAATAATCGAAAGTGATAACAGCGACAGTTCTGTTAGTAATAAATGTGATGATGAATTATAAGCGAAGAGAAGAAAACTAGACGAAACTGCAACAAGAAATTTTATATATCCTATTGGGATTGTTACAATAAGGTTGCTAATGACAAATCTGATATAAATAAAGTTATATACAATAAAAAAGTCCTATTGGGATTGAACTTGATTATTATCTGCAGTGTCCAACACCTAAAAGAGATAGTAATTCCTGTGAAGTGTGGAGTACTAAGTAACAGATTTTTAATATCAGGCCAAAGTCGGATATTTGGTAACTATCCGATAGTTGTCGTATATCTGTTCCACCGTTTTATATTGGATGATGTTCTTTTTAATGTACAGAAGGCAGTGGAAGATGTAAAGGCAAGGAATTATTAACATTCGAAATTTAATAAATTTATCTGTACAGTAAACCTGGAATCCCAAGTTTGTCATCGCTCTGACGCATCTTCTCTGGACTCCAAAACCTCTATCAGTATGGGCAGAATAACCCCAAGCTAATAAGGCGTAGGTGGCATGACTAAAGAAATAATCATAATATGTGCTCATCAGTACATCGAATGCAAATTGCAAAAATGGCGGTATTCAGTTTTTTTTTATTAAATACGAAACATGTGATTCCCATGTAAGACCCGAGTCAATGTAGATTCCCAAATATTTCACCACTCGTCTACTGTATCATCAGCAAAGATAATCATACCTGAATCCCTCGGAATGATTTTGGGTAGGTCATTGACGAAAATTAAAAATAGAAATGAGAGGAACACTATGTATAATTGGTAAACGGCTAGAATCTTGCCCACAAAAGGAGACATGTTAAAGTCTATTAGTCAAATACCATTCTATAAGCTTGACGCAGTCAAACGCCTTTGTTAGATCGTCAAATGCGGCTTGTAAATAATTGTTGGCTTCAAAACAATCTTGAGCAATCCGAGCCAGAGCTTGAACGACATTTGTCGTTGATTTGTTTCTTCTAAAGCCAAACTGTCCCGAATTTAACATATTGTTTGATTCAATATGACAAAGCAATAACATGCGACAAGCAAACTTTTTTCTCATGGCCTTTTCAGTAAAAAATTGGTTTATAAATAAGGAAAACTTTTCGTTTACATGCAAATTAATGTCATCAATAAAGCCAAAGTTAACCTGGTCAAAAGTTAACCCAACCCAACCCACGATGGTTATCGGTCTATAAGAAACGCAGGTTCTACAACGTGGGGATGGCTAAATGATCAGAAATCGACGGATCTATAACTGAAACTGTAAATAGGCTACTATCCATGTTAGTAAATGCATCATCCAAACAAGAACCCTCACATGTGCACTGATCAAAACAACTGCTCAACCCATAAGATTCGCAGAGGCCGCATCATAAGCATGCTTCCTTGTATCACGCTCGAAGCGAACATTAAAATCACCAGTAATTATAATAAATTTGCTGTAGCTTAGTTTAGAGAGTACGTCATGTATTCTGTTTAAAAATATTTGAAAATTACTAAGAGGTGAACGACTGTCGGTAGTTAATTCCTGCTGTTTCAAAATCAACCTCACTCGAAAGATCAACTATATCATATGGAAAGGGGGCAACGGTTGCCAAGGAATCTAGGAACTATATTCGACGTGTACGAGTGCGTTGGACTATGGGTAATAGTTGTTAGATTACGATAGTTTATGTTGCGTCGTATAGAGATTAACTATAAAATTGGCTACACGTTTGAACACTTTAAGCGCCCTTCACACGATCAATATATATTGTCAATATCTGAGTATTGACAATATTATTTAACGTGTGAGTAGAAAGATTGACATATTGTCAATATTAAAAATATGATGGGATGGTTTGACGAAAACGAAAATATTTGATATATTGACAATAAATATTGACAGTCTGAGGGAGATATTGATAATCCTACCTTAGTAGGATTATATTACGGATTATTTCGCGTAATAATGAATACAGACAGATATACTTTAATGGACGAAGGTGCTATTAACTCCCCGGATGGTTCATTAACACATGCAAACATGACATGACATCTTTGACTGTCAATGCAAAACTAAGTAGATTGTCAATAAATATTGATAGTCTGAGGCAATTATAGTTTGTCAATATTTATTGGCCATAGTGACAATATACAGGTGTATCTGAATGACGTGCCCAAACTTCAGGGGGTGATTCTTTAGGCAATTTTAAGGGTACTTTCTCATATAAACTATCAGCGATTTCGACTCCCCTGCGGAGCTACGCCCCTTCAAAAATGGCGAAAAATTTTGGTTTATTTTATTTTTCCCGAAAACCATTAACACCAAGAAAATGAAATTTGGGAAATATGTTTAGCTTATAATAGGGCTCTCCCAAGCAATCATTGTCCCTGGGGAATTTGACATGTCGCTGCAGGTACATTCAGAGGCAAAAGTATATGGGCGGTAAATTAGATTTCTTTTTTTGCGTTTGATACAATGAATATAAATTAAGTTTTCATTTGCATTATATAATTGAAAAAAAACATAGGAAAAATAAAGTTTGATATAATCACCATTTCAATAGTTTCGGTTCAATAAGTAAACATTAATGGCATAAAATTTATTTATTTCTAATCCAAGCTTTCGGAATAAGTCGATTATTATTCCGTAAACCTGTATTGTAAAAATATTATTTTCTTTCTAAATAAATTTTATTATTATTATTTAAAAGCATTAACATTCATCATCCGTTGATGATGAATAGATAGATTCTTCGCTAGAAGAATCTCTATTGACGGTGAATGTCATTTCCTCAAGTACATCATCCAAGAGGCCGTCTTTTTCCCAGAACTCCTCCCTTATCTTTCGTGCATTATCGCAATACTTCTGCCAGTAGTTTGGCGTAATTTCAGCGACAGCTTCTTGTATAAAGGCTTNAAATTGCAAAAATGGCGGTATTCAGTTTTTTTTTATTAAATACGAAACATGTGATTCCCATGTAAGACCCGAGTCAAGGTAGATACCCAGATATTTGAGCACTCGTCTACTGTATCATCAGCAAAGATAATCATACCTGAATCCCTCGGAATGATTTTGGATAGGTCATTGACGAAAATTAAAAATAGAAATCGGAGGGAAAACTTTTCGTTTACATGCAATTTAATGTCATCAATAAAGCCAAAGTTAACCTGATCAGAAGTTAACCCAACCCAACGCACGATGGTTATCGGTCTATAAGAAACGCGGGTTCTACAACGTGGGGACACGTCCGAAAAATTACATTGAAAAGAGATGACGGATCTATAATTGAAACTGTAAATAGGCTACTATTCATGTTAGTAAATACATTATCCAAACAAGAACCGTCACGTGTGCACTAATCAACACAACTGCTCAACCCATAAGTTTCGTAGAGGCTGCATCATAAGCGTGCCTCTTCTTATCACGCTCGAAGCGAACATTAAAATCACCAGTAATTATAATAAATTAAACTAAGCTGTAGCTTAGTTTAGAAGTTTAGAGAGTACGGCATGTATTCTGTTTAAAAATATTTGAAAATTACCAAGAGGTGAACGATATACTGTTGGTAGTTAAGTCCTGCTATCTCAAAATCAACCTCACTCGAAAGATCAACTATATCATATGGAAAGGGGGCAACGGCTGCCAAGGAATCTAGGAACAATAGCTGTGTTTGGTACACTTGCTATAAATACTCCTAGTGTAGCAAGTGTAGTGCAGTTGACAACTCTCAGTTTTCAACACATTTTCAAAGTGCATAAGTAAGATTGACATATTGTCAATATTAAAAATATGATGGGATGGTAGGGCGAAAACGAAAATATTTGATATATTGACAATAAATATTGACAGTCTGAGGGAGATATTGATAATCCTACGTTAGTAGGATTATATTACGGATTATTTCGCGTAATAATGAATACAGACAGATATACTTTAATGGACGAAAGTGCTATTATAGTTCTTTTTTTTCTATAATACCTGTGAAATTGTTGTAAAGTTGGCAAAATTAACAGGGAGTTTTGTTTTATCATGTTTTGAAATAAATATATCACACTGACNTAGGAGGGATATCCATAGCGTAGTTCTAAAAAGAACTGATTTTTCTCAAAAAAATCGTGAAATATATAGAAAATGGAAAAGGCGGATGTCAAGCAAAAAACGAGGTTATGTAGCTAGCCGTCAGATGAAACAAACAACTTTTAATTCAGAGTGTATTTTTTTAAATTCTGAACGTTGATTGGCCGAAATATTTTCGTCCGAGTTTAGTTCGCATATTTTCCGGGGACAATGATTGGTTGGGAGAGCTATATTATTATTGTTTTATTTAAAATTTTGAAACGTCGAGTGGGATAGAACTTTATTCAAAAATTAATTTGAAAAACAATAATAATAGTAAGAAAACCACTGACATTTATTTAAAATTTTGAAACGTCGAGTGAAATAGAACTTTATTCAAAAATTAATTTGAAAAACAATAATAATAGTAAGAAAACCACTGACATTTAAACGTCAAAAATATTTCTGACAAAGATTGCAAAGCCTACTAAGTTTTTTTCATTAAAAATTCATTCCAACTTTTGATAGAGAATTCCGTTGTTTAACGGGCAGTGTTTGCTTTATTATTTTTTTTTCTCAAAAATTAGTCGTTTTTGGAAAAATTTTAGAGAGACAAAAAAGTTTTAGGATACTTTCATCTACCTATGTAATTTTTTTTTGCATAAAAAAATTTTAGCAAAAATGTAAAGGGGGTGGTTACGTTTAGTAGTTTAGAAGGATAGGTTGAAAGTACAANAGTGACGAGAGATTAGTGGCTTCGTCTTTAAAGTGACAATCAGTGACAACTTCGTTTAGAATATACACAACCTTACTTATTATTTAGTGGAAAATATTATAAAGCGTGGTCATAGAACATGGTATCTAGGGTGGTACAGACCGTTTTTTTATAAAAATTTGGCAATGACAATTGATTTAAATAAAAAACAGATAATATTATAGAAAAAAAACGAACTATAACTCCCCGGATGGTTCATTAACACATGCAAACATTACATGACATCTTTGACTGTCAATGCAAAACTAAGTAGATTGTCAATAAATATTGATAGTCTGAGGCAATTATAGTTTGTCAATATTTATTGACTATATTGACAATGTTTTATTGAGTGAGGTGCAAACTATGTCGCGTTTTGTCATTCCTATCTATCAAGGAATTAATCTCAATGTATGCACATCCCTCTTTAGAGTAGTTTATTAATAAATTTGATTCAAAAATCCTCTTGTTTAGTACAGGTTGTTCCAGAAGGGAGGGGATTGATAAATTGAGAACATTACACAGATTAGATANATTTTCCTAGCGTTTATGGTTTTTGAGAAAAAAAAATTAAACCAAAATTTTCCGCCATTTTTGGAGGGGTGTAGCTCCTTAGGGGAACCCAAGTCGCCCATGGTTCATATATCAAAGTACCCTTAAAATTGCCTAAAGAATCACCCCCTAAATTTTGGGCATGTCATTCAGATACACCTGTATATTGATCGTGTGAAGGGCGCTTTACGCTTGCTACCGATCGTGAGGTGCAAACTATGTCGCGTTTTGTCATTCCTATCTATCAAGGAATTAATCTCAATGTATGCACATCCCTCTTTAGAGTAGTTTATTAATAGGTTGCAATTTGATTCAAAAATCCTCTTGTTTAGTACAGGACGGTTGTTCCAGAAGGGGATTGATAAATAGAGAACATTACACAGATTAGATAGATAGATANAGAGTAGTTTATTAATAAATTTGATTCAAAAATCCTCTTGTTTAGTACAGGTTGTTCCAGAAGGGAGGGGATTGATAAATAGAGAACATTACACAGATTAGATAGATAGATAGTCATTTATTGTCACCAACAAAAGAAACAACTCTTATAAACTTTTTACAATTTAACAAATAAAAATCAAAATCAAAATTTAAGAAATCAAAATCATACTTTAGCAAATTAATATCAAAAATTTAACAAATTAAAATTTCATCTTCGCTCCTTTTTGTTTTGTTGACTTTTTCAGTGTTAACTGTGGCATTCCCATAATGGGACTGATTGTGAGTTCGTATGCTCTTGATATTAGTCCGTGTAAAGCCATACTTCCTTGTATATCTCCTTCATTTTCTTCCATTCTTGTCCGCCCCAAGCTACCCTGTGCCATGTTACTCCTCCACAGCTCCTCTTAAACTCATCTTCCCAGCTGGTAGTTGGTCTTCCTTTTCTTCTCTTTTTGTCTATAGGGTACCATTCTAAGATTTTCTTGGTCCATCACACAGATTACATAAATTATTAAATTTTTCATATACATGTGGACGAATAGACTTATTAGAAAGCAAATCGTTACCACCCCCTCCAATAATTACTAAAACGTCGTGTTTATTGAAATTATTGCATAAATTGTTTGTATCTGCCAGTGTGTTCTCCAAAGTGGCATTTGGCTTACAAATCGTAAGGACGTCATAGTTGGGAAGATGGTTTTCCGGGAATTTTTCGCTTAAAACCAATACTCTTGGTTTCTTACTGCTTGGTTGGCTTTGCTTGGTCACTGGACATGGGCTGTGAGGAATAGAAAGGCCCCGCCGAGTTGTGTGATCATCGTCGCTGATGGTGTCATCTTTTGGTATTGGAGGTTTCACATGATTGATTAACTTGGTTAATTTTAACTTGCTGTGTCAGATTTGATTTGACTTTGGTCAATCGAACGAACTCGGACGAATTGAATGTTTCAATCAAAATATTTCAAAACATAATATGTGTAAAATCCTATTTAAATGGGGGCTAACTTCACATAGATGGGTTTATGCGAGTTCTTTTTTGTGTTTTTTTTGCTTGGTATGTGGTTGATGTTGAATTTTTTTGTTCTTTTTTTTGGTGAAGAGCCAACGAAAGCTCAACCTGACGGAACTCGAAGTTGCTAAGCTAAAAACGAAGGTTTGTAAAACAAAATGTTTTCTTTTTGTACCCTTTCAACTGGATTCTTCCTTGTATTGTCTTCTCAAAGCTATTAACGGAAGTATAAATGTCCGTTGTGTTTGTTATAAATGTTTATTGTGTTAAGTTAATGAATTAAATTTTTAAAATTAATTATTTTTAGCTTATGGAACAAAACGGAATGAAAACGGATGAAAGTGAAAAACTTGAGCAGGCTAATCAAAAATTAAAGGAAACGGAACGGACGTTAACGGCATCGAGAAAAGAAATAATTACGTATCAAAACATGTTGGAACAATCTCAAAATCAATACGTCAATTTAGAAAAGAAATACAGCAGGGCGAAACAATTAGTTCGCGAATTCCAACAACGCGAACTCGATATGATTCATCGCGAGGATTTTTATCAACAATTATTACAAGAAAAAGATACCGAATATAACGCTTTAGTTAAAAACTTAAAAGATCGCATAATCGCTTTAGAACAAGACTTATTAGACACCCAAAAAAAAGCTGGGATTACAATCGGACTTCCTTACGATAGCGTCTCTTTAAAACAAATCACACCACAAATGACACGCAGACAACCCCCAAAACCATTACTTCAATGCCTCGATACCGATTTTTCCGACACCGAAGTTTCCGATGTAAGTCCATGCGACGATGATAAAACATCAACAGTCGAAAGAAAACTTCCCATTAAAGAGGAATTAGATAGCGCGGTCCCACAACACGAACTCCTAGATATTTCGGCTAATAAAAGTAAAGCGGAATTAGCGAATCGTGGCGCTTTAGCAAATAGACAACTTCCAAGCGCCAAAAAAGGTTCGTTAAGTAATAGTAGTTCCGATTATGGTTTAGATGAAAGTTACAATTCGGGGGATGAATTAACAGATCCGGGTTATTCGCAAACTTCAATGGAAAAGCCTACTTCTATTATTCGCCCGACTACTTTAAATACAAATTATGTACAGTGTATAACGCAATCGGCGAATTATAATTCGGCGCAATATTCTTCGTATACAGCTTCGGGACAAAATCATAGTAGCAGTAGTAGTAGTGTGATATATGCGAGAGTACAAAAAGAATCGAGTGTTGGGCAACAAGGGAGTCCGGATCCTTGGGGAAGTGCAAATAAAAATGTTAATATTGGATTGGGACCACCTGCTTCGTTGGCTGAGCAACTTAAACAGGTTAGTTATAATATGTAAAGGTGTTGTTATTTTAAATGTTTTTATTATTGATTGTATTATAATAAATCTTTTATTTTAAATCAACTTTTTAAAAATTGAAAATGAGTTTTGGATGAAAAGGTATAAATGGTTTATAGTATCAAGAACTTTGTGTATAAGAATAGGAAATTATTTAAATTAAATTAATATTTATTTAAATATTACTTTATTAACGAAATTGTCAATATGTGTATATTATATTAAACGATACGCGTCATAAGTAATGAGAGATATCGTCATGAGCCAAAACGCGTCGATTTTACAGTTTTTACAGTCGACCAAATAAATAACGAACGATATAAATGTGGGTACGCGGTGAATATAACTTACAATATATGAATGCAGTAAGCATAGTTACGAAACTACTATGCACTTGCACTGTCCCACATAAAATGCAACATAGCTTAATAGTACCGGAACACAGTGGTCCGAGCGGTAAGAAAACCCGATCGAAAATATTATTTTGGTATTAGCAATTAGCTAGCTTTATGAAACTTGGCATATGATTATAAGACCAAAANATTAACGAAATTGTCAATATACAGGGTGTCCCGTTAAGCGTACGGGCTGTATCTCTAGAACGTTAAGGCCTAGAGGTTTGGGAAAAAAATCCTTATAAGCAAAGTGACCAAGAGAAATAGCTGGAAATTATTTTGAAGTTCGTAATTCGACCGCGATATTTCTCATATTTGTCATAATAAGAGAGAGAGAGGCAATGCGTTTTCAAATGTTTACATCTTAATATCTCCTGGACCATTCAACCGATTTGAATATTTTTGGTCTTGTTTGAAAGAGCATTTCATGCTCTTTTAAAAGAGTAGTAAGACCGCTTGGTTTAAGCGGTCTATAATATATAAGCTAGAGGTCGTTATCTGCAGCGGTTACATATTTTTGTGATTTTTGAAGAAAAGTTAAATGGAACGATACTATTTACTTCATAGATCCTTAGTCACCTTAAAATTTGCCAAATTTTAGTGAAAACCGTATCTCGATATCGCCACCCGTTCTCGAATTATCGAAGAAAATGTTAAAAACTCGAGTGCCATCAAACGGATCCAGTTACCTCATTGACAAAAACAAATCACATAACCATGATAACTGTAAACATGTCATTTACTAACGCAGAAGCATATGATAGAGCGTGTGATGATTTATTTTCAATGTTTTGAATTTGATGCAACTGCATGGCAAAAATGTGCAATTACGACAAAGAAAGACATTTTTCTCTAGAAGTGTTTTTAAGATTGACTTAGCGATTACGGAAAACTGACAACGTGTAGCCCATTCAGAAATCTCTATGAATTCGTAAGGCTAAACACATACTGACGCGACGAGCAAAGCGGCGAGCAGAGCGGTGAGGAAAGCGGCGAAAACAAACTATACATATCCAAATGAGTAGAACATAGTGGTGCGGCGCGGCGCCAAGTAGCAGTGTGGTCATAAGAGAGGATAGCGGCGCGTTCAAGCAAGTTTGTTTTCTCCGCTCTCCTCTTTGATACAAAATGGATGTTGAAGCTTTAATACATGAAAACTTACAAAAATAAAATAAAATGGTTGAGAAATTGCAAGAGGTAACCACTTTTTATGAGTTCGGTATTTTGGGGAAATGGGTTATTGAGGCATTTGTATAAGGGTGGCTTTAAGGGGAGGACCTGGTCATTAAGGCACTCAAGTCTTGTATTAGTTTTTATGAATTTGTCTATTTCATAGCTCTCTAAAAGCTCAAGTTTGTGGCCTTTATTTTGTTTATGTATCAGTGTTACATTTTCTTTAATATCAAAAGTGTGGTTGTGCAGAGATAGGTGTTTACCAAAATTAGAGTTGGGTTTTATTAAATGTTCTCTAATTCTTGTTTTTAGGGCTCTCCCTGTTTCGCCAATATATGTGGCTCCGCAAATATTACATTCTAAACTGTAAACACCGTTAAGTTCCTCTAAGTACTAGAATCCGTCATCGC